TTTGTTTGTTTTTGTGATTCATCTGGACCACCTGGTGGTAAGCATCAATTTGACCTAGAAGTTATTGAATTTTCATATATTTGCTGCCTTCATCCTACACAAAACACAGCCTGTGGGCCTGGGACCCATGATAAAGCGGAAGGACTTCTGATGCACAAGAAAAGAGAGGAGAAAGAGAAAAAAAAAAAGAAAGAAAACACACACCAGCTACAATGGGCCAAGTTAACCCTGCATTATAGTTTTGGACTAAACATTTTTAAATGATCAACAAGTCTACATACAGAGACAACATCTAAGACAGCAAAGGGGACAGACACAAGATGAGGACAGAGATGCCATGCCATTTATTCCACTTGAGTCACCCTTCGGATCTCTGTAGGCTTAAGTGAAGGCTCAGCGTTTTCAGCAAAAGTGGCCTTCAGGTCCCCAGGAAGTGACCCAGGCAACTATTACCATGACCACATGGCAGAGGTGATATCTACAGCAAAGCTTGTGAGACACTAATCGTGTCTCGCCCAGCTCTGTGACCACCAAAATTAGTGATTTTTAAGTTGACTAAGAGCAAATGAAGCTAGAGGACTTCAGTAGGCTTCCTTTTTGGTGACACTTTCTTATTTTATGCCAATGTTCTGCTTCCGTGCTTTTACCAGGCTCTTGTGAAGGGTCTGGTGCAACATGCCAGGGTGATCACTTTTTGCATCAGGGGCTCGTTTTGTTGGCCCAGCCTTTTGTCCCATCATGGGGGTCCCTAGGTGCCTCAACCCAGGGGTATGAGACAGAATTGAGAATCCAGCTTGAGGCTCAGCCTTCCCAGCCAGTCAGTAGCTTTTGTCCTGTGTGTCTATCCTCTGCGTGGTTGGAGAGGATCCTCGAGGGGATCCTTGGTGACCAGACCCAGACTGGTTTCAAGAGGTTTTTCAGTGCCCTGTGGCTATCATGACAGGTCCACAAATTTATGCAAAGTGACATGAAGGTATTATCACAATTCTGTAAGTTGGAAGCCTTGGTGGAGTGAGGGTGTCTTTGTTCAGGTTCCGCCAAGGCTGAAATCAAGGTATCAGTCAGCCTAGGCTCTCACCTGGGAACTGGGAGAGACTCAGCTTCTTGGTTCCTTCAGGGGGCTGACATCACTACAATTCATTCCATTACCACCCTGAAGTCTCCATTTGTTTACCGGCTGCTAGTTGAAGGCCATACTCAGCTTCTGGAGACTTCCTGCATTCCCGGCTCCTGACCCTTTTCATCAAGGCCAGCCATGGTAGATCGAGTCCTTCTCTTCCCTGACTCTCAGATCCCCTTCTGCACATGTCCTCATGTGGTTGACTGGGGCCCATCTGAGTCAGCCAGGACGCTCTTCCTGTTTTAAGATTGATCTGTAACCTTGATTACTTCTTCATAGGCCCTTGTGCTGTGTAACCTAACATACTCACCAGTTCCGGGGAGTAGGGGACATTGCAGGAAGCAATCCTACCAGCCAGAAGAAACCACAAGCTTCTGACCTTGTTTGGGGGTCTCTGTCTCTGAAAAGCACAGAGCCGAGCAGGCAGATGAGAGGGGACCTGGAAGGTCCGTGCTTTGTCCTCCTGCTTAGGTTCTCTGCTGAAGCTCAGTCCGCTCCACAGCCCAAGCCCAGCCAGTGTCTCAGAGTTCTATTTTTAAGACTTTTTTTTAATGTGTTTCTTCTACTAGTGTTTTAAAAATCCCGTTCTTCTGATTCCCATCACTTTCGTATTAGTGCTGTGTGGCCCACAAGAACTTGTTAGTGTGTGCTCTCTGCCGGTGCGCTCTGCGAGTGTTTTGTACCCACCATCTCTCACGCGCCTCCTAGCCACCCTGTGTGATATTAAGATGATGGTGATAATGACGACTGTTATCCTATTTTATAACCCTGGAAAACCACAGTCAGTAAGGTGAGTGACACAACTGATTAGGCAACAGAACCAGGTTTCAGGGCCCCCAGTGACAAACCCCAGCTTTCTTCTGCCAGGCCAAACAGTCTCCCCTTGTTTCCTTCTCCCTTCCTTTTACTCCTCATTTTTCAATTAATGAATCATTTTCATTGCCCTTTTCTCCGCTCTCTTCACCATCTCCACGTTTCTTTTAAATTGTGGTGCCACAGCTGGCATCTGAAAGCTGCCATTTCATTCCATGGAGTATTTGTGTCTGATTTTTTTACAGCTTTATTTGCTTTTATCCACACCGAGCAGTGTACCCAGCTGGACTGAATTCATAGTCTTTCCACACAGTGCCCAGATTCTGCAAAATATAATCCGATTAGCGCTGCAGACTGCAGATGTGTGGGAGGTAAAAGCTCTATTACGGAAACTGTCGGGCCAATGTCCTCTTTCTTGAGTTTGAAGGCAATCAGATGAAATAAAGCCGAGAGCCACAGGGACGCTACTGGCTTAGTGTAGGAGGTCTAATTTATGAGTCCATTTAAGGACTAAATCACTGCACTTAGACAAGTCATAGAGGTTGTGCAGCACAACTTTGAATTGAAAAACAAAAAGAAATCCTAAGAAGCAAGTTCTTTGCTTAAATTCTTACTTTTTGGAAGAAAAAAAAAAGAAAAAACAGTAATAGTATCAAACACTCACTGTGCACCAGACACTGTTCTGAAGACATTATGAACGTATTAATCAGTTCATCACCGCCCTATGAACTTGGTATCATTTTCATGCCCATTTTACAGATAGGGGAACTTGAGGCACAACAAAGGTGACTTGCCCAAAGTTGCACTGCTGATATCTGGAGAGCCAAGATTTGAACCTAGGCCCTTCTAGCCCTACAGTTCATGTTCTCAGTCTTTGCTATGCCACTTCTCTGAACGTCGTCTTCCTCCTGTACTTGAAGTGTATTTAAAGAGACGCTGAAGACTGGGGTAGGGGAGGAGACCAGGAAGAGAGTCTGGAAGAGACAGGAACATCTCCCTTCGAGGGCTTTGGACCCCGTTCAGAGTACTGTTTTTCCCTGGCAGCATGACCTGATACAATGTGTACTTCTCTGAAAAGGAGGCGCGCGAAGGTCCTCTGGGAGAAGAGGCGAGGGCAGCTACGAAATCCTCCCTGGAGTTCTAGAGAGGACAGCCAGGCCGGCAGAGTTGGGGTCATGGGGAGGTAGAACAGGGCTGGAAATAAAGCAAAGAGGAATCTAGTGGTGTTTTCACCGTGTCCGCTCGACTGGGCTCAGGGATGTCCGGGGAGTAAGCTAAACGGAGTTCAGGGATGTATCTGTGAGGGATTTTCCGAAGACACAGCATTCAAATCTGCAGACTGAGTCAAGAAGTAGCCATCACCAAAAAGGCAGAGGGAAGACAAAGGTTCCTGCATCATCTTCCTCTGCCCTCAGAAAGCTGAGTCCCCTGCTTTCTGGCCTGAAGACTCAGGTGGAGATTTAAACCCTAGGTTCACACCACTGTAGGAGCTGAGAAGCCCCAGGAAGTGCCAGCAAATCCACAAGCAGCAGGCCTAGGAAATGAAATGGTGTAAGGCCCAGTCCGAGTCTGCAGGCCTAGAGCCAGGACCACCGCTGCGGGAGAGCCGGAGAAGAGTCCCAGCTTGGGCGGGGAGCGCATTCGCCCTTCCTGCACCGTTTGGTTTCATCCAGGCCTTCAAGGTGTTGGGTGACACGCACCGCATTGGTGACCCCCAGCGTCCTTACCCAGCTAGAGATTCCGGAAGGGCTCATCTCTTCCAGAAGTGATCGTCTTTTCTGGAGGGCCTCTCAGAGGCTCACCTAGAAAAATGCTCTACCAGCTATTCAGGCATCCTCAGGCAAGTTGCCACCACATTCATGAAAAATAACAAACTACTGTGTGAATATTTTTTAATTGGAAAAAATAAAACATGATTGAACTACAGGTATTTTCAGTTAATAAACTTAGAAAACATTTAGGTATTCGCTAGGGAAATTGGTTTCTTCTGTATCTCCTAAATGTAATCCCTGTCATCAACTGTGCAGTGATCCCTAAAATCAGAAGTCCAAAATCATTTAAAAAAAGAAAAGGAGTCGAAAATCTGCATTTTGGCCCTGACTTTCCTTCATGTACTGACTGGGTCGGGGGGCTGCGGAGTCCCCCTCAAGACTCCCTTTGTGAAATTCTGTGCCAAGTCAGAACAGTACCTGGTCAGCTCCTCTCCCAGATGCTGTTAGATACCTACTCTGAGGAAAAATGATTCGATAGTGTAGGCTCCTGCAGTAACATAGCCATTTCACAGTCTGCTATTATGTGAGGGATTCATTCCTTCTACTGGTTGCTATGGACAGCGATCAACAGCTGGCCACTCAGAGGCCAGATGTCTTCATCGGTAGAAGTCAGTAGGACAGAGAGAATAGAGATGTAGCCATGGAGGAAAACACGCTTACCAACCCTGCTTAGGACACTGTTGTTTGTTTCCTTGACTTTGTACCTCGTGTGTGTAATGGTGCTGCAGGACCACGAGACCCATGGAATTAGCTTGAAAAGAAGGCAGTGACCACTAAAGACCCTGCAGTCTGCTCAGGGCACGTGCAAGAGGCAGGAGGCAGATCATCCACCGGGCTGTCTGTGTGCACTCAGTCCACTAGGTTGTGCTGCCACTGCCTGCCCCCAGTGCTAACTACAGCTAGAGCTCTACTCTGACAGCAGAGGTTTCCCATACACAAAATGACATTGCAGCACCTGCACAGAATGAGAAGTGGAAGTCCCTGCTGCTTTGTTCTAGGAACGGTCAGTTTCCTTTCCAGAGCCTCCCAGCCTTGTTGTGGCTACATGGTCATTTATAGGCACATGGATGGCCATAGAGCCCTTGGCTGCCATTTCAAAGGTGATGATACTGAGACCACTTGGTGAAATCGAAACAACCCTGGGGTTCTGGCTCCCTTCCTCCCGTCTGTAAACTGGGGCTGCCCTGAATGCCGTGCTGTCACAGTGCTGTTACACTGTGACAGGGACTTCCCTCGTGTGTTCAAGGTGATGCTGACCTGCTGTACCCTTTGGTCTTGCCTCCCATGTACCACAGGATCGATAAACAAATAAGCAGGTTTCGGAGATGGTTACCTAAGAAGCCAATGAGGCTGGACAAGGAGACACTGCCAGACCTGGAGGAGAATGACTGCTACACTGCCCCTTTCAGCCAGCAAAGGATCCACCAGTGAGTGTTTCTGGTAAAGCCCCATCTTACTAACGATGTACAGCTGCAGTCCAAACTTCCCCTGTAGACCTGACACCACAATGTCCTTCTTCCCCTAAAGTCTTGCGTTTGTGTCACTCAGGGGAAGCCAGCTGCTGTAACAACCATCCCCAAATCCAAGTGGCTTAAAATGATGCCCCTTCCCAGGTGTATTGACACATGTAAAATGACCTCCATGGTGACTCAGAGACCCAGGCTCATGTCCTGATGCTCTGCTAACTCTAGTGCTCAGCGCCCCCTGCAGGCCAACAGGCAGGGAGCCTGGTCCACACCTTTCCTTTCTGAAATCGGGTTGTTTTTATCTGTTTGCTTCTCAGTTCCCCTTCTTTCAGCATTTCACCAAGTTGTCCCAGGAAAAGCCACCTCACTGGGAGGCCCACGTGTGGACTCATCTATCAGACTGTTTCAGAGCAGTAGTTTGTCACTTTTGACATGTGGGCAGGAAAAAAAATGTTGGCTAAATAACAGCCTGTGAGATGAAAAGAAATGATTGCTGGGAGGCAGAGTAGGTGGGGAGAGAAGAGCATGCCAAGGACTGTAAACAGCTGGGAAAAACAGCCTCAAAAAGGAGCACAAATCAGGCCAGCCCAGCCTCACATTCACCCGGACTAAGAATACCTTGTCTTTCCTGTTCTGGCCATTGTGACAACCTCAATAAATACGACTTACTGAGGTTGCCAATTCTAAGAAAAAATAAACCAAATGGCAGTAGTCAAAAACTTGCAGGAAGAGCAGGGTGGGCTTGTTTCAGCAACAGAAAACTAAGGGAGTCTATGGACCTCTAGGGGGCAAAGGAGAGAAGAAAAGTAAAAGGACAGATGTTCTGCATCAAATTATATAATGCTCAGGAAGATCAGTCTAGTGCAAAGAAAGCAACCCAGAAGCCTCTAAAACAGCCAAATTTTGGATCCTAATGGGTCAGATTGGATGCCAACCATGCTACATTATGTGAGCATTTAAAATATGAATCTCACATCCCTAATTAAAACCTCCTTGAAAAATAGGAGCCACTGTTAATTCTGAATGTTAATTCAGAGACCAAGACCTACAGGTATCTTCTTAAGCGAAAAAGACAGCTGAAAGCTGGCATGTTCCCATGCCCATTCAAATCTTTGCCGTGTTATTCATCTTGGGAGTTCTTAAAACAAGTAATCATTTGTTTTTTAAATCTCCCTGGATCTGGTTTACATGCAGATTTTCTTTGCTTCTCAAGAGTGCCTAGCATAGTGAGGAGGGGGTCTCACAATTTGGGGATGATGGATAGATGGATACATGCACAGATGCGTGAACAGATGGTTGGATGATGAATGGATGGGTGGGTGGATGGATGAACAGATGGTGGATAGATGTATGGAAGAATCATTGAAGTATATAGTATTCTGGAGTTTTGTTTTATTTTTAATGCATATAGCAAATTGGAAGAGGATGGTCTCCTATCCCTCCTCTTCATGCTGGTTATATTCCTAATGTTCTGGCTTTAGAACATTTCTGAGCATGGTTCTCAAAGTTAAAAGCATGTGGGCACCCATGGAGACTTCTAGAGACTAAAACTGAGAATGATATCTACAAGTATTTTTAAATATATGACAAATGGGAGATGATACTATGTGGGATAGAGATATTAATCACATATGTGAGAAGCCCTTTATGACATATTTGTGTGTTAAATGAATAACTGATTAATTCAGCAGTCATTTATTTAACCTCCACCTCTTGCCAAGCATGGTCTGGGTAGAGAGGCCATAACGATGAATAATACAATACACAGTCTTGGCCCCAAACTCATTACATAGATTATTTTAAACATTTGTAAACAATGTGATAGGTCTGACTTCAGAGAGGGACTGTTCAGTGCTCCAGGTTTGGAAGGAGGTTGTTAAGTGAGAAAAGCTAACTTCTAAAGAGAGAATGTTTGATGTTGATCTACTAAGACTTGTCCTAGTAGGTAAGGAGGGGGAAAGTATCTTCAGAAAAGAGTGCAATGCATTAAAGAACAAAGGCATGAAACAGGAAGGGGTGTTTGCGGAGCTGTCGTATTTTTCTGTGAATAAGATGATAGGGTGAGAGGAGGACATAGCAGTTCTGTTTGGAAAAGAAGCCGATTAGCAGAAGATGAGATTTCAAGACAGAAGAATCAAGAAAGAAAAACTATAGGGACTGCTGGAATGAAGGATACTCAAAATCAGACCTCAGTGGGACTAAGAGGATAGAAGCAGTTCTAGCACATAAAAGGAAAATGAAAAATTAATGTGTCTAAAATGCTGTGGGTGCCTGGAATTTCTTTCTGTTTGATAAGTTCATGCCACATGGGCTACCATCCTGCGGACTGGTGTGTAAAAGTAAGTCTTGAAGAATGCTGGCTGTCAAGTTGGAAACAATTATTGGGACAATCAGAGAAAAAGCAATCCCTAAGGATGCTTTGGGCACGATATTAATAGGTTTAATTAATCAGAAGGAGCTGTTGATGAGCTCTGGGAGTTGCATCGTGGCTTTCCAAATGGAGTCCAAAGTCCATGCGACTTCTTGATTTTGCAGAGCCTTTGATGATTTGTTTGTCTTGGAGGAAAAGAGAATGACAGAAATGTAACTGTTGGGGGAGGCGTAAATGTAGTAGAGAAAATCCAGATTAAGATTCTGAATAATGATCATGTTGGGAAAGTACCTACAAACGCTTCGCTCTCAGCATGAAAGCCAGACTTCCAATTCGGGCCCCTTGCTCTACCAACCTCCCTGCTCACCCTAAGCTCTTTCATTTCTCCCTCCTGCACTTGTCCTTCCTCCTCCCTAGAATACCTTTTCCCATAGGCTTCTTCTTTTAGAAGTCAGCAGAGACACCTCCATGCAATCTTCCGTGGTTTGCAACCTCCACCCCCAGTTAGGATGAGGTGCACTTTTTTGCTATGCATGTGGTACTAGGCATTGAACTCCGGGCCTTTGCACTGAGTTATATCCCCATCCCTTGCCTTGTAATTTATTTATTTTAGTATTGAGATAGGGTCTCATTAAATTACTACATTTCCCAGGCTGATCTCATACTTGCAGTCCTCCTGCCTCAGCCTCCCAGAGTGCTGGGATTATAGGCTTGTGTACTCTTTTATGTCTTGGTAATAGTTTTCTTTTCTTTAACTAATAGCACTGTCCATTTTAATTGTTCTCTCTTAGACAATAAGCTCCTTCAAAAACTATGTCTGTACTCCCATTTTCAAATCCCGTAGTAGGCACTTAACAATGATGTGTTAAGTTAAAAGAAATGAATCCATGGAAACAAAAATGGAAGAATCATGTCAATTAAGAATATAAATACTGTAAACTTAGCTGACAGCATACTTATCTCAAACTGAACTCAACGTGTTTTCTCAGTGTCGCCCACTTCAGTTTTTGCCTGGGTCAGCATCCAGCATTAATATTTGTTCAGTTGCTGGGAACAGATGTGAAAGCTATTCTGCTTCTGCCTTACCCTCTAATGCCCTCATCTTCTGCATCTCAAGGACTGATTTGACCTCCTAAGTGTGTCTACTCCAACCTTTCCCCATCTTCGCTACCCTTGTCTCACTTCTGAAACTCAAAAGCAATGGGACCTCTTTCCCTGGTCCTACTCCTGCCCACCTCCAGGCCATTCCCTCCATGCACACACAGTCATGTGTTCAAAATGTGTATCTAATCTTTCCATTGCACCCGGTTTTAAAAACTTAGAATAAACACCGAAATGACCCTGACTCACTTAGCAGGCCTTGCAGGGCCCGGTCACCCTGCTCGCTCCTCCCCAGCCTTTCTCCCTCCACGATTGTGACCCAGACACACACAGCCTCTCTCAGCCCTGCCATTTCCTCTCCCGGAATACTCTTCCCACTCCTTCCCCTTTCATCTACTTAACTGTCTATTTTTTCATAAACATTTTTGATTGACATAACAATCATATGTACTTGGGAAGTAAAATGTGATGCTTTGATTCATGTGTGTGTTGGGTAATAAAAGCAGTGTGATTAGCATATTAATCACTAAACGTACATCATCTCTTTATGGTAAATGCATTCAAAATCCTCTCTTGCATCCCTTTTGAGATATGCTGTAGATTATCATTAACTATATCCACCCTGCTGTGCCAAAGGCCACTAGCACTTACCCTTCTTATCCCCCGATAGCACTGGACCTGTTGACCAGCCGCTCCTCATCGCTCCTCCGTCCTCTCCCAGTTCTGCTGACCACTGCTCTCCTCCCAGTTCCCACAAGACCGCTTTTAGAGCCCACATATGAGTGTGGCCGTGAGGGTCTGATCCTCCAGAACTTAGCTCCAGTGACTTCCCAACGAAGCATCCTGACGCCCTCCTTTCCCACCAAGCCTTCCAGACATCACTCTGCTCTCTGCTTTTTGAAGAGCACTTTTCCTATGTAACATCTTTCACACTTGGAATTTTATACGTATTTAACAATTATTTGATTAATACCCAACTCTCCAGAAAAGCTGTGTGCTTTGTTGAGGATAGCCATGCTTAGTTTGGCTCGCAATCCTATCTCCAACACTTAACACAATGCCTAGCATATAGACATTGGTCTAGTATAAATTAACAGATTAAGGATAAAGGAGTAAACACATATCAGAGTGATCAGACTGCAGATTTTTCTACTTTGAACTAGAGTATACAAAAAAAGTGAAGTTGACAGTCAATTTAAAAATAGTCTAGTGTTCCATTTTAACATATAATCTGTGTTTGAGAAGCAATAAATGCAGGCCTGTTGTAGACCTGTTTCTAAGTCAATGATGTCATGAGGTTATTTTTTATATGGTATCACCAGAGATGGGCCAAGAGGTAGGGAAATTCTTGCTATATACTAGATACTATTCTAAGAACTTGTATTTTGTTCTTATAACAATAAGGCTATAAGTGTTATCACCATTTTACGGATGAGAAAAATGAGGTCCAGAGAAGTTAAAAAACCTGCTATGGTCACACGCCTAGGAT